TTAACAGACAGCAACTTTGAAGTGGGGATAAATGCAGCTAAAATCATCCCCCTGAAGTTCTCAGTACTGTGCAATTAGCTTCGCAGATGTGCTGAGTCTACACCTACCCTTTAATGATTACTAAAAGCTTGTTAAATGAAGCAGTACCACCTCTCTCCTCTCTGTACACATCAGCTGCCAGCCCACTTCTAGTTTTATAAGTTCTATAATGGAGCCCAAATGTGGCTGAAACCTTTTCAAAGCTTTAAAATTTTTAGTATCTCATGTGTCACTTACCAATGAGGAATAACTTGCAGAGTGGGAGCACTGATCCAAAGTCTTACTGTCTCTCATTTACAATACCTCCCATGTCCTTATCCCACCCAACTTTATTCTAAAGTGCAAATCAAATTTATCTTCTCCCTCCCTGCTTAAAACCTTTCAATGGCTCCTGTCACTTAAAGTCCAGAGTTCTAAATATGGCTCCAATCCATCTCCCAACTTTATTATTTTCTCTCCATATCTGGCATCACTAAACTATAGCTGTCTATCTATCTATGTATAATCTATCTATCAACTCTGTGTCTCTTTCCAACTATCTTTTAAACAGCACTTCTACATATCTCCTAATTTCCACATATTATGACTTTATATTATCATAGATATATATTTAAATGCAAGTTCTTAAAATTCATAGTCCTCACTTTCTATTGGGCTTAAAATAATTATGCAGACCCTTTTAAGATGGCACTGGAGAAGAGAGAAGGGGTACTTGTGTATGCATATGTATGTGTGCATACATCTGTACTTAATGCTTTTGAGATGTAACTGAATTAATTAGCATGATTAAATTATTTTTATTTTTTTAATTGTGAAGGATTCATTGAGGGTACAAGAAGCCAGGTTACACAGATTGTATTTATTAGAGAAAGTCCCTATTATAATTGTATCTTGCCCCCAAAAGATGTGTCACAAAATGAGACCCCCCAATCCCCCCTTTTCCTCTCTCTACTCTCCCCTTCCCCCACCCCCCACTATGTACTAGGTCATTAATTGTCCTTATATCAAAATTGAGTACATAGGATTTGTGCTTCTCCATTCTTGTGATGCTTTACTGAGAACAATGTAAAAATATGGAAAAAATATAGAATGCTTCACAAATTTGTGTGTCATCCTTGCACAGGGGCCATGCTAATTTTCTCTATATTGTTTCAATTTTAGTATATGGGCTGCTGAAACAAGCACAGCATGATTTAAATTTTGAGTAAAAGGGGTAGGCTCTATCTAGGACTCGATGTCTGTTTCATTTACCAAAGCAAAAGAGTCATCAACATCACTAATTATTTCTCCTTTGTAGGCCAGGATAGATAGTAAGAGACTCAGTTCTATAATAGAACTGGGTTCTGCAATAAGAAAAGATACAATAGGATAACCAAAAAAAGGCAAGATTCAGTTATTATCATGAATTTCAAGATAGAGAAGTGGCATTGAGAGGGGATGACTGACTCATAGAGATCCCTAGACCTGGTTAATAGAACACAATGTCCCTAGGAGAGACATAAATGACAACCATCATGGCTGTAATACAAAGAAATATTTACAGAAAATAAACAAGTCAAGGATGGAGGATGATAGAATGAAGACAGTTGTTCCAATAAAAATGCTTAAATCTGCCTAGTTTCTATAGCTAGTTTCAGTATATGGAACTCATTGAAAAAAGAGGCCATGTATGTGAGAGGAAGCTCCCTGCAACAAGATACGTGGTAATGATTCCAGCATTCTTTCCCCACAGGTATCTGCTGCTATTTCCCTAGGAAATTATATACGAGGAAAATGAGAGTTCCTAGGAATTTTGAAAATGGTTAAACACAGGGTCCAAAATGACACTGCTGGTGCAGCACCTGTGGCTCAAAGGAGTAGGGCACCGACACCATACACCAGAGGTGGCTGGTTCAAACCCAGCCTCAGCCAAAAAACACTGCCAAAAGCAAACAAACAATGATGTGTGTAATAAAAAATGGAGCTAAAAACAAAACAAAACAAAACAAAATGACTCTGCTATCTGGATATCTAAAGCAGCATAATGTTTTGTCTGTCTGACTGGGGCTTTATGATGACCTGACAACAACAGAGGGAGTCTGCATATGGTCAGTCTAGTGAGTTCACCCTTAGCATTCTGGAGCAAATTCATTCCATGTGTCAGTCGCTGAAAGATTTATGTATCAACTGAACAGGACTGCTAATACACTTTCGGATGTGTCTGTGAAAATGTTTACAGAAGCTATTGGCATTTAAGTCAGTAGCCTGAGTAAAGATCAACCTCACCAATGTGCGTGGGCATCATGCAATATGTGGAGGACCTGAATAAAACAAAAAGGCAGAGGAAGGCTGAGTTCACTGTCTTGTTTGAGCAAGGACAACCATAGTCTCCTGCCCTTGAACATTGGCACTCCTAGTTCTCAGGAGACTTCAGACACGTGTAGGAACCTATATTGTTGACTTTCCTGGTTCTCTAGCTTGCAGAATGGGATTCTCAGCCTCCACAGTCTTCTGAGCCAATTCCTCATAATAAGTCCCTCTGTCTGTCTTTCTCTGTAAATTTGTTCTGTTTCTGATCAGTTCTGTTCCCCTGGAGAACACTGATTAATAAAATATTTATTCTGTTTCTGTGTTTCTAAGACATCTTTGTACATATTAGGCTGAAAACCAGTTATGTCCTCATAAACAAAAACAAAACAAAACAAAACAAAACCAAAAAACCAAGCAAACATGTTTCTCAGATAAAGAGTAGTATAATACATTATTTTAGGTTTATAAAGTTAAAACCATTGTTTGCATGTGTCTATGTATGTGTGTGTCTGTGTACTGAGATACTTGAAGTAAACCTCAGAGCCTGCTCCACTGTGTGGAACACAGAATAGGATCAAGAAATGGTGCAGAACCCTGTGTGTAAGATGAGATGAGATCTAGCTGAATAGAACAGGTGATCCCACTGAGGCAGAACTAATGGAAGAAACAGAAGAGAAAAATCAACAAAAATTTAATAAGAACTTTTGTGCAATTAGAGCTCAAAGGGAAGTTTCTGAAATTTAAAAATGTGTAAAATTTAAGCTCTTCTGTAGGACTATAAATGTCTTAAAGGACAATGGGCATGATTTCACTTTATCTTAGTAAGTCCTGCTATCAACACAGTGTCTGGCGCACAGGAAATGTGTGAAACATAAAAATAAATAATAATAATAAGTCATCAAACTGATCCAAAATGCTTCCTAGAGTGGGACTGGGACAAGCAAGTAAGCAGGTCCCAACCCAAAGAGGTGCCCAAATAGGTCCTGTTCCTTTTACACCTGGAAAGAATTGGGCATATGGCTTTGAACAGCTCACTTTACAATGACTCCTTCTTTTATAAGATACTTGGCCTTTTGTGAGTGGAACTAAAGCTGTCTCTGAAAATGGCAACATCTGATCCTAAGGCCTAGAATATAAAGCACTTGAAAATGTCACTCTTTTAAGGTTATCCTCTGATGCTCAGAGCTTAGAAGAAAAATTTAATAGGCAGATCTGGTAAAGTAAAAGAACAACCATAACAACAATATTCATTAATATGAAAAATAGGAATACATGTTACCTGCCTATGACCTTATTTTCCTGAAAAGATTCACATATGTTTATCACTTCAGAAAATTTGTTGTTAGCTCAAGTACAGTAGAAGGGATAGAATCATTTATCACCTTCTAAAATAAATGTAACCAGGGTACTGCATGGTAAGTGACTGCTATATGGCTCTAATAAATTATAGGACCAGGATAATTGAGGTTGCATTAGGGAAGATTTCATAGATGGGAATATGATTAAGGCAAGAGTCTCTTCCCAGATAATCTAGGTTCAAATCCCCTCTCCACTCCTCCTTAGTCATGTGGTCTTATTTGCAAAATAAGGATCACAATGTCACTTAATCTCACTAAGTCATTTGGTGAAATAATAATGTATACAAAGCTTTGCACGTAACAAATAACTCAAGAAATATTTCTACTGAGTTCAGACTTCATTTTACCTATTGATACTTTGAAGTCCATTCATTAAGACATTTATGAAGACTTGTATATGCTTCAAGAATTGTATGCTTGAGGGTGGGGAGAAGGATTACCATTATGATTTCTACCTTGATTAAGGTTTTAGCATCGATTGTGATTATAAAGACTTTCATCATAGATATTTATCCAGATATAAGTGGAAGAAAGGACAAAGAGTAAAGAAGATCCACGTAGTAACTACTAAGTTTTCCTGGAGTGTTCAGGAAGAAGTTTGTGGGGCAGAAAGAATAGTTTTTTCCTTGATAGAAGAGTGGAAGTTTCCTGTATTGATAAGAAAAAGATTCTAACCAAAAAACAAAACACAACCTCAAGGATGCAGAGATGTGTTCAGTGATGGTCCAGAAAGTTCCGCAGAGGATTCTACATTGGTCCTTCTGTGCCAGGCTGGACTTCTTAAGTGTTGTTGTGTAGAGAGACTACAGAAAAGCGTCATTTTTTGAGAAGGGTGGAAGTATTTTAGTTATTTTTATCTTTTAACTTTTCATACTGAAATGATCTCAGACTTCCAAAAAGGGTGCAGATGTGGTACAAAGAGCTTGGGTTTAATAAATAGATGGGCTCTTTGCACTTTTGAAGTGAAAGCACATTTCCCTCTTCTAGTTGATAATTTAAACTTTGGTTTTCTCTCCTTGTAAAGAAATCAGTTTCTCCTCCCATCCGCTCTATCAACCAATCATCAATAACATTAATGTTGATGTTAATCCCACCAAGTCTTTGGGATTAATGCATTGTTCTGAGATATAAACTATTTCAAGAATCCAAAATTAATCCAAAATTTCTGACTCATTAATAGGAATCTTTATGTTGAGGCCTGACTTTTTTTTATCTGTGTGCTTGTTTTTAAATTTTTTTCCAGCTTCATGAGTATATTCAGCAAATAAATATTGCCATATTAAGGTGTGTAACTTGATGTTTAAAGATGCATATGCATTGTCAGATTATCACTGTAATCAAGCGAATTAACATATCTATCGCCTCACATAGTTAACTTTCTTTCATTAGTTTCTTTGTGGTGAGAACACTTAAGATGTACCCTTTTGAAAAATTTCAAGTATATAATACATATTGTTCAATATAGTCTCATCATACTGTAAATTAAATCTTCATAACTAAAACTTTGTACCCTGTGACCAACATCCCCATTTCCCCTTCCCCACACATCTGGCAAACACTTATATGCAGAATCTAAAATCAAACTCAAAGAATAGAGGATCTTACTCTTTTTAAAGAAAAAACTGGGACTCTTGAAGTTCCAGGTCCTTTTTGCCAATCTGAAGTTGCAACATGAGAGAGTTTAAAACAATTATCAAATGGTCTTTTTGATAGGAAATTGTTTTCATCAGCTTGTTAGCTCAAGAAGAGCCCAAATTTCCAGTCTCCCCTCCCCCCCAGAATAAATGGTAGTATGAATTCTATATTTCAAAGTCCATTTTGAGAGTTACCAGTAGATCTGAAGAACAAGGTACTTCAGGATGGCTTTAATATATTTGATAACCATTCCTTAGGATTTGAATATAAGTTTTAAAACATTATTAG